CCCCTCCCTGCTCTGCTCGGGGGACAGCCTTCCATGGGGAGCTGGACCAAACGCCAGCAAGCTGGAGCCAGCAGCCGGATGTAGCGTGAAGGGGTTGCCATATTTAGATGTGTTTTTCCTGGAGCAGGAGATTCACAAAATGAGAAAGAGATGCCTGGATGCTCTTGCCTCACTGCTGCTCAGCCCTTGTTGCATCTCCTTTCCCCTCACAGATACTAGCCCCACGCCTTGGCTCCCTCTGCTCTTCAGCATCCCTTCTATCCTCCCTGCTTATTTTCATCTTTCTCATTTATCCCTTTTCCAAGCTGACTCCACTCCACTAAAATAGGGGGAGGAAACGGGGACAGTGAGTCACTGGTAGAGCTTTCCTCTTCAAAACGGTGGCTCACATTGCTGCTCTTGTCTCTTTGACACGCTTTGTTCTGAAGCTTGTCTTGGAGTCGATACCTGGTAGCCAGGAGCCCCTGCAGATCTGCGCAGGCACAGCACATCGCCTTGGTCAGATCCTTTGGGGTGTGACTCGCTTGCTTCGTGTCCCCATCAGCATCGCCAAGACAGTCTCGACATCAGCAGTATCAGAGGGATCAGAAACCAGCCCGGTAGCACTAGTGAAGAAGCTCAGCCGTAAATTCTGCTGGAGGAGGGAGTCGGGCAGGGAAGACTGCGTTCTCCCCTCCATTTTACAGCTCACGTTCTCCTGAATGTCAGTGGATGGAGAAATCACCCGGAGAGGCCAGTTGTGAAGTAAATGAGTAACGTAGCCACACACTAATAGGGTATTAAATGGGTGATCCCATATGCTAAGGAGGAAAGGGCATGTATGATTTCCTTGGCTTTGAAATTAAACCAGCAACATCAGCTATAAAAACAGGCCCCAATTCAGTAGGTTCCTGGTGCCCACGAAAGAGGTGGCCCTGTATTTGCTGCCTGGTATGTTTTCACAACCCTTTTTCCTAGGGTTGTGCAGAAGCATGTGTCAAAATGCAGAGTTTGGTAAATCTTTGCACAGCAAATGGGAAGGAGGCTGAATAATAATTTTCACAGAGAAGTTCAAAAGCCATACAGGGAAATTACATATTTCAGCAACTTTTCTCATGTTTACTGCATGAGGAATTAGCCTTAATAGTGGGAGATAAAATACCTGAGAAAGCCTCCCAGTCAACCACTTCTGTTGCAGCAGGTGTCTGTCATGTTAGAACTGATCTTTCAGGACCGATTTTTCTCTGTTGATGATTGCCTGTGGAAGGCACTGGGCAGCCGTGACTCAGTGAGCATCATATTTAATAAGGCTGATTTAAGGCTTGGTTGGTTTGGTTTGACCTGGTCTTTGATTATTTCTTTGGTTGCTTTTATGGTCTTTTGATTTGTTCTGACATTTTTGGGTCAATTGCTGCTGGGTTTAGAAGTGGGTCTGTGGTCACAGCCTTACTCGAGGCTGGATTAATACATATTTATAGATAAAGAGCCTTTAATGGAAGCTGTAGGCACCCCAGCAATACAAAGCATTGTTCTCTGCTCCTTTACAAGCATCTCACACCGGTGGGGTTCTATTGACTCATCAAGTTTCCATTGGCTTTTCACCTGTGAGAACAAGCAGAGAATCCAACCCATAAAAATCTAATAATACACCCCAAAACAGTTCAGCTTTTAAATCAAAACAAACAAACCCAAACAACAGCTAAACCAGAACAGTGTCTGAAGGAGAAACTTCAGGAAGGTCTGAAGAAATAAGTAAGTCCTGCAGTATGCACAAGAGATCATCCAAGTCAGGTATGATCAAGCTAAAAAAAAATCCATTCATCAACTGAGTGCCTTGTCCCCTGGCGTTTGAACCCTTGCTACGGTAGAAGAGTTTGTGATACAAATGCTTGGAAAAGGTTCGTTTGAACTGGTTCATTAGTGCCAAGAAGTGGCTGACTGTGGTTTCAGCAATAATCCCATTGCTTAACTCAGAATGTGACAGTGCGCTTCCAGACCTCCCCCAATTCCTTTGCTTTCTGGGAGGGGTGAAAAAGATGGCAAAATGTGCCCTCAGTGGACGCTGCCGCCGACCGCGTCGGGGTTGAGACCAGTGCGGTTCTCACAGAGGGTGAGCCCAGCTGGAGCAAACGCCGTCAACTGTCTGTGCTTGATTTGGGTCCGTACCAGCTCAGCCAGAAGCTGCTCGTTTCCTTCTTGTCAGCACACCCCGAACCAGCGCAGGCATCTGGCCAGGGCTTAGGGTATTCATATGCTTTTAAATGTTTCAGCGTCTCTGTAGCTGTTGTAGGAACCCACAGTGCAAAAGTGAATAGCTTTTAAAAATAAATCTGAGCCTGGTGTAGAGGTAGGGAGCAGAGAGAGGAAGGAAAGGGGAAGAGCATTTGAAAGGAAAACGTAGGTCATTAAAGCTGTCCTAAAAGAAAAAAAAAAAGGCTGAAACATCTGCTGGAATCATAAGCAACTTTTTAGTGGGACTCAGCAGTTTGCTGGCAATTCAGTGGAGAAATTCAGCAGTTCAGCTTTTCCTATTAACTACTCACCAGGGTTACTATTAAGAATTACTAAATGCTAGAGAGGGCTTTCCCTGCCAGTGCAAATACAAGGCTCCTCTAGAAGATCCCATCAAGTTCTTGCAGCACAGATGTGTTTGCAGAATTGAGTTTTGTTGGTTTATGAAAGCAAACCCAAGTGAAATGAGGGTGGCTGTAGCAGCTAAATGAGGATGACTACAGCAGCTAAACAAACATCTTGCTATGAGGTTGTCCTTTGCTGGTGATGCTCAACCTGGTTGGCCTATACAGAGCCCTTTTTCCACCTTCCCAACTCCAGGACAGCCTAATAAAAGGTGTGACAAAGCAGGGTGGTGTTTCACAGAAGAAGTGCCAGCTGTCTTCCTGTATGAAAGCTGCAGAAAATATTGGTGGAAAAGATCTGTGAAATTCTCTGCTCCCCCTGGGCCAATGCAGAGCTGTTTCATGACGTTATTTGCCTCAGTCCTCTTTCAGTTTAGCCTTAACGGTCTGCTGGAATAGTAGCAAGGAAAGATGAAGTTGAAAGCACAAATTTCACTCTGTTTTGCTGCCAAGAGAAAGAGTTGTTCCCAGGTTCCTTCCAGAGCTCTGTGAAATGGCAGCAACGTTTTCAGCCTCGTTGGGCTGAGTGTTTTCACTGTATGCTTGGAGGCCAATCGACAAATGTGTCTAGAAGCCCTCTCTCACCCCCCATCCTACAGGTGCACAGAAAACTCCATGTAGCTTGCTGTTGTAGCTGACTCCTGCAGATAATAAAGGTCTGCTTTCTCTGTGCCATTGCTCTAGAGGGGCCGGGCAGCCCCCAGAATCACCCTGGGACAGTGGGTGCTGAGACCACTGAGGACTAGAAGGAACCCTTTTGAAAGCATTGCCAAGTCAAAGGCTTTTCTGGGGGCATAAACCTACAGTACCCCACAAGAAGTCCCTACAAAGCACTGGGCATAATCCAGCTGTCTAAGCATAGGTGTCTAGTGCCATTTTTGGTAGGTTAGATTACCCCACTGCCAGTGCAAAACAGTGTGGACCTCACAGGGTCCTCTAGCATATCTCCCACCCCGTGGAAGACATCTCAGCTACCTTAGATCACCTTCTGTTGAGGCAACAGCAGCCCCTCAGCCACAGCAGCCCTGTCTGTTCAGCCCAGCTCAAAGGGATCAGATGCAGACTTAGGCTGACCTCCAGAGCGTTGTGTGGGGCAGAGCTTTCGAGTGTGTAGAGCTGTAGCTCTCAGTGTTGTCTGCGGACAGACGTGGGACGCTACTGCTGAATGCACCACAGATACCAGAACTCAGCTTTCCATAAACGTAAGGTAGATGCTTTGAACTACAGCTGTAGCTGAAAAACAGCCAGTAATATGAGTGAAAAATGTGTAGAGATGGCATTTACCCCTTCTTGAGCTTGCTTTTCATCTCACAGTATGGCCATAACCTTCATGTCCTTACTCTATGATGAAAGGATGCACTTGGCTTATGCAAACAAGGTGATCAGAACAAAGTAGTGGCTTCACTATAAACTCATCCCTGAGCCCAGAGATGTGTTAAAGACGGTGAATGGTAAGCACATCCTGAAAAGTCAGCTGCTCATGTTGGGGACACAAAAATGGATGCAACCAACTTTGCCCCTTCTTTGAGATGCTAGATCTTGGATAGCAACTGATGCACCATACCAAACCCAGATAAAATCAGGAACACCATCAGTAAGTTCCCCTAAAAAGCTGCTGTCCTGACATCTGAGCAACCAAGTTGGACTTAATGCATGGACTTACTTCAGTGGAACCTGCTGGGTAATTGCCACTTGAAAAGTCAAGCCATTTGGACATCCAGTTTAAATACCTTGACCTACCTCTTCACAAGAAACAGCTCCTATCCCAGAAGGACCTACGGGTTATTGTTGTTTTGGTGTGTTTTACAGGAATTTTTCTAGGTAATTTTATTCCATTACATTTTTTTCATAGAACAGTAGATTGAATTAAATGCTTGCTACTAGGATAATTGCAGTTCTTAAGAAGTAGGCTGTTTTGTCAAATGGCTTCTCCTAGGCTTAATTTGCCAAAAATGCATCTCCAGGGCTCTGTAAACTGTACTGTTATTTGCCCTTGGGAACTTTCATGGGAATCACATGTCTTTTTTTTCTGGGATCTTTACATGAATAATTTTGTTACTTTTACTTTTCTGGATAATGATTACAAATGTCTTTGTGTGCCCCACTGTCCAGTCTCTGTCTGTTAGCTTAAACATTAAGAATTTGCCGTAAACAAACACGACTGGGTAACACCTGCTTCATGTCGTAGTCTGATTTCTTTTTGGAACGACTGCATCCAGGCTTTGGTAAAATTACAAGTGCTCCAGATGTGTATTCTGCTGTCAGCTGGCCTAGTGAAATCATTGTTTATTGATAGGTTCCCAAGAGTCAGATAGTTCTCAGTCTGCCAAGAAAGACATGCTGGCTGCACTGAAATCCAGGCAAGAAGCTTTGGAAGAGACACTGCGCCAGCGCTTGGAAGAGCTAAAGAAACTGTGTCTCCGAGAAGCGGTAAGCAATGGACATTTTATAACCTGCGACACTTTGTGGCTTGCATCTTTGTATCATGCTTGTTGTTTGGCGGTGGTGCGGGGTCAGGAGAAGAGATTCCTTCCATAGTCGCCTCTTACAAAGCTCTTACAAAGGCCTCAGGAAGGTCCAGCTCTTTCAAATCCAGATTGCAACCTCACAGGACATATTCCTCCCCAGAGACGGGGACCTCATGTCAGCTGAGTACCCAGCTGGCCTGGGGCTAGGAGGGTGCTCAGCATCCATGTGTGCTGTTTGAAATAGTGTTGAAGATACATTCAGCCAGGCTTCTTGGTGACTTTGGTGGGAGTATGCAGCTAATGGCATAGGAAGGCTGTTCTGTGTATTGGTAATCACTTCTCAAATGCTTTTGACTTCATTAGCAAAAATACCCAGGTTGATACACTTTATTTGTAGAGCACCCTTGACCTTACATGTTTTTCTTCTCCCAGCATGTTCTTACATACAGCACACAAGGTCTCATCTGCTCCATGTAGGCTCCCTTCATCCAGTAAGCTCTGGCACTGCTGGAGAGGAGTGGCAGTGTGGTGGCACACCTTGCAAAGAGAAGCCACTGTGGTCGTCCCAGGACGTACAGGACAACTCAGGAACTCATCTCATGACTTTCCCACTCACCTGCCTATTCATCCTTGGAGTACACAAGAGGCCAGTTTAGAGATCAATTTAATGTTTGGAGAAATGACAACCCTGCTGCAGATGTGTGTGGAGGTTAGCAGCAGTGTACACTTGGGTCATTCAGCAATCCTCCTTTGTTTACCAGGCCTGAAAATCTGAATTTAGCAACAGATTGTGATATGTAACACAACAGGAAACTGGCTGCAGACAGTGGGAGATCTTCCAGTTGTTGCAGAATACTTGATGTGTATCTCACCTTTGACAAAAATGGGGGAAGTAGGTGACTGATTCAGCTCCCACTGAACATTGTTTCAGTTAGTCTATAGTTTTAATGCCAACGAGAACAAGTTGTGGAAAATTCCTCTCAACAAAGAAAGTCAGCAGAAATATCTGCTGCCCCAGTTCCCATCCTTTACTCCACACGAGCAATCCTTTCACAGAATCACAGGATGGTCAGGGTTGGAAGGGACCTCTATAGGTCATCTAGTCCAACCCTCCTGCCGAAGCAGGGTCACCTACAGCAGGCTGCACAGGACCTTGTCCAGGTGGGTCTTGAATATCTCCGGAGAAGGAGAATCCGAAACCTCCCTGGGCAACCTGTTCCAGTGCTCTGTCACCCTCAGAGTGAAGAAGTTCTTCCTCATGTTCAGATGGAACTTCCTCTGCTTCAGTTTGTGCAGTCCTGGTTGACTTCAGCAAGCAGCCTGTGCTGGTAAAGGTCACAGGACCAGATCCAGCCTCCTAAGTCCATCAAGTTCAGAGCTATGGTCATCCGCAGGAAGTAGTCACACGCTTTTTGGGCTGATGGACAAGGTCTGGAGGGCTTTACTTGCCCTGGAGCAATTTACTGCCTTCAGCTAACCCTGCCTGACTGCTGAGGGCTAATGCCTTGCAGCAGCACACCTGCAGGGGAAGATGTGCCTGTGCCACAGTTGCAGGAGCTCACAGCCCAGTGCCTTTGCTTTAACTCCAGCCCCATTGGTGGTGCAGCTTCAGGCACTTCACGAGCAACCGGGATGCAGGCAAAAGCTCTGGCTGGGGCATGGAGCCAGTGGTACAGAGCAATATCTCCTTAACGTGCTGCAGCAAGGCCGGCCAGAGCCCATCTGTTGGCACCTTAAGAGCTGGTAGAAAGTGTTCGTGCTTTCTGTAGATGATCCAAGAGAGGCAGTTGATGGGCACTTCGAATCTGACACTGTCTCACAACCCTACAGCTCATCCATCAGCAGCCTGCAGCTGAAAATATTGCCTCTCAGGCTGCCCTTTGTGCTTTCTGCTTTGGCATGGGAATGGCCGAAACAGAGGGGGAAGGCAGCAAACCAGGAGGTAAAAAAGGGTTAAAAGTGGGGGGCATAATCAAACAAGCATGGCCGGAGCCATTCATAACAGTGGCATCAGGTTACTTCGGGCCATCACTACTCCAGTTACTTATTAATTTAGATTACATTTCAGGACTGTGCCTGTGAATACTTTTCAGTTTATGGAGGCAGCATGGTAGCCCGACATTAATTTTGTTCTGCTCCAATCTTGGGCATTTTCACGAAGCTCTTAACTCTCCCCACTGCCCTGCTTCGTATTAAGTCAGGGGTTATAAAGAAAATATCATCGTTTCCCTTGGGAAAGGATACAGGAATCTGTCTCGATGCAGTGCTTAGAGCCACATCACACTAGAAGGAACGTGTTACAGAGGAAAAGCTGAAATAACCCCACGGGGCTGGAGGGGCACCGCAGAATGGGACGCATGAGACGTTGCAACAGTACCTCTCGCAAAAGGGGGTTGTGCACGTCGGCACAGAGCTGTGCTGCAAACCGATTTTGCTGGGAACTGCTTAAAGGATGGATTTGAAAAGGCCAGGTCCTTGTTTCCTAGTGACCTGAAAAGAGTAGAAAGAAAAACCCCATTAGGGAGCGGGGAGAGGCCAGGGCAGGCAGGGGCCTGAGCTGCGCATTCGCATTAAGGTCAGCTGCTGTTCTCTGGGATTCAGATGATTTAGGTTACTCTGCCAGCTGGATGCTCTCAAGGCTGATGCTAAAGAACACAAAAGCCTTTTGTCCTTCATGGGGAGAGTTTTGAGTACAAGGAGTCGGGCTGTTCTTGTAGTGAGGCTCCTGCCTTTTTCTGTAGGCATTTGAATGCCTTCAATTCAGATATGTGTGGCTGTATTGTGTAGTCCAGGGAAAAAAAAAACCCACAGCATTAACGTCAGTATTGCTGCTCGATGATTCCTGTGTTCCAGATATTCCTCAGTTCTGTGGGGTTTGCTTCTGATTTTGAACAAATCTTTGCAAATGACCCCACCAGTCTGACAGAGCATCATCTGATACTGCTCCAAATCTTCCCATGACATCACCAGGCTTTGGAAGGGGCTCTGATACATGAAGTGTTATCAGACAGGCAATGAGGTATCAGGCACTGCTTTTAGTGACCATTTTCACTGCATTCCTCTCAGACACATCATGAATCAGGTGGGAATGTTTTTCTGTACAGGTCATAACCTGCACTGCTGTTGCCAGCAGAGCCTTCTGACTCAGCAGACTTGCATCCTGCGTGAAGGCTCTTGGATCTGCTCACCCCCCTCTCAAAAGCAGCTCAGCAGATAGCAGCAATTCTTTCCTGCTTGCCCTGCAGCAGAGATGAAAGCATATGTGCTGCAATCGGCTCAGCTCCAGGACCCAACGCCCAAGGGATGGGCACCACCTACAGACCTACCCCGGGCAGGCCACAAAAATCTGTATTCATGTACAGGTTAAAGAAAAGTTCCCCACCCTCAGTGTCAGGTCCTGGGACGAGTTTGCAGGGCTGGGTGCTCTGCCCTATGTTTATCAGCTGGCTGAACTGGATATGGTGTTGATGAACGCCTGTCATTTTATGGTCACAGTTCAAAAGCGGTGTTGTGCTTTGCTCTGCTGCAGGATTTCCCAGATCACTAACAGCATTTTCTTCTTACAGGAGCTCACAGGAAAGCTGCCACGAGAATACCCTCTAGATCCTGGGGAGGAGCCACCTATCGTAAGGAGGAGAATAGGAACTGCCTTCAAACTGGATGAGCAGAAAATCCTGCCGAAGGGAGAGGTGAGGCTGTGCCCTTCCCTTCCAGCCCCATGCCCCTGTCCTCGGATCTCTGAGACGTCCAGCCTGCATCACGTAGGAACCATCAGTCCTACTGTCACTTTTGCTTTAAATGACTGTAGTTGGTCATGGTGCCTTTTATTTTAATGTCTATCAGAACGGGGAAGCAGCGAGAGAGTTGGTGCCCTCAGTTCAGACTCGGAGTAAAGGTTAAACTCTCGGAGTTCAGCCCTGGCTTTGCTAGAGGTATCAAAAATAGCCTGGGTGACTGACTGGACCATGACAGTCCAAGGATTCTGGTGGCCAAGTGCAGTGACTTGTGTGAGTAGGGAGCACATCGGGAGCCCCTTGAGCCATCTGAGCCCTGTGTTGTTATTGCAAACAGCCACTTGCTTTCTGCTCCGGTAGCAATCCGAATTCAGATCTCCCCTAATGGGGAGAAGAGCATCACAGTTATTCATCTTAGCCCTGCCCGTAGCAAGATGAAAGCATTTTGCTCCCCAGTCCTTAAACAAAAGAGCCTTCGCCCCTACCTATGGGGAGCTGGAAATATGTTTTTCTCAGTTTGCCAGGGAGTGTTTGTTCTCTTCTCTTGCTCCCACAATGTGCTGGGTCAGTGCCCTGAACCGTGGCTGTGAAAACAGGCCTGCAGCAGCTGTAAGGCGGGACCGGATTCACAGAAAAGCCATTGTCTGCAGAGACGCATTTGTCTCAAGACACTTGTGTATATTCCAGTCTTGAGTTTCCTTTTTATTTTTGTAAGGGGAGAGACTGAAGCTGGTGTGACTGTGCGGTTTGAGGCTCCGTTCAGCCAGGGAATTAACTGTTTGTCGTTTTGTTGGCATTTTCCTTCTGCTGAAAAAATAAACAGCTGGAGCTCTTTAGTTTTGTACTCAATGGAGCCTGGGAGAGGAATTCCACCGAAGTCAAATATTCATGAACTAGCACATTTAATTAAGCTTTTCAAAAGGAAGCACGGCTTAGCTGAGTTACTCCTAAAACCCCTGCAGTCTGTTGGCTGCTCAGTTATAACCTGATCTCCAGCTTCCCAGATCTTACTGCTGCAAGGCAGCTTTTGGGCCCAGCGGGTGAGGAATCTCCTTGCTCCAGTGGCAGGGTTAGGTGGGGAGAGCAGGAAGGTAAAGCAGCTCCTCCCCATTGCAGGCATGCTGCCTTTTGGCATCAGCAATCCAAACACGCTGACTAAGCTTTTCTCTACCTCTCTTTTCATCTGTCAAACTTTAGGACTGTTGAAAACCATAAATTTCTGTTCTCGAAGAATGATGTTGAGCTGTGTTTATTTGGCTGCCAGTTTCAGAGCATTTAGAGAGGCTAGCAATGATTTTCATGCACTTTTCAGCAAGTGCAAACACTAGAAACTCAATTTAAAACAAAAGGCGAAATACTCCCTCAGTCACCTAAATCCAGGCCTGATATTGCCAACTGTGACAAGGACCTGAAGCAAGAGACTTCCATCTGAAGGCAGATGATAGCCCTCATTTTCTGGGCCTTTATTTATAGTGGCTTCACTGGAAGAAAATAGACAATTATGGCCAGAGGGAAAATGAATATGTGTTTTCTAAGATATACTGAATGATTCAGAATTGAATCTGTGAAGGTCTGAAATGACAGCTCACATCAAATGCTCTCTACCTGTAGTAAGAGCTTGGTCAGAGCAAGACTTGCAGGGAAGGGTCCTATTGTATTTTTTGGTAATTGCCTCTGTCTCTGTAATTCCTGACTCAGGGAAGGATTTTGCCAGAAGATGGTGAACCACGTTCCAGGCCTTAAAACTCTGTGGAGTCAAATTCACTTTTAATAAGTTTGGCGCTGGTAGAGCTTTTAAACTCTTCAAAGCAAAAAGGGATCTGTTAAAAAGATGGGGGGTCAGTTCAGTCTTCAGTAAAGTGAGGGAAATGGTAATTATAGATTTAAGGCAATGCTGACTCACCACTGACAGAAAATGGATTTTTTTTAAGCCAGAAGCCCAGAATAAAAACTTCAGAGAATGACTTCAGTCTCATTAATTCCCACAGCATCAGCTCTTGCAGCATATGCCACTACTAAACAAAGAGAAAGGATTTAAATTTGCGTAGCAGGGTTCTCCGTGAATATATGGCTGTCAGTGCTTGCGATCCGAACTCCCACCATTCGCTAAAAGTAAAAAAGCTCCTCATTTTTCCCCTAATTTGCAATGTACTGTGTTCCCCTTTCTAGTAGACTAACACCAAAAACTCCATCGGGCTGGGGAAGGTAGCCAGATCTGTTGCAGATTAGCAAGTACCTCACAGCCTGAGGTCCCGGTGCAGACCAGGAAGCTCTACATCAGCTTCTGCCTTGGCATAAATTGGCCTAAATCCATTGACTTTGGAGGATAACTAAAAATCAGTAGGTAGCTTCCAGGGTACACCTGGTTGCATATGAAAATTCTGCAGAGACCCTACAAGGGCTGATGTCGGAGACACTCGTCCTTTTTGGCGCACAGAAAGCCTGCTGTTACACACTGCTCGCTCTGAAATCACCCTTCTGGCTTGTAGCTCGAGGAGACGGTTCTCTGGTGCAGTCAGTTACAGCAGCCCCTAATTACTTCAGCTCATACTCTCCCCAGGATTTTGACAGTCATACACCAGAGAGGAATTACCCTCTTTGGCATTTTTACCCCAAAGAGTTTGGTGGGTGCCAAGGAAACTTGTCCAGAAGGTCAAAGCTGTAGCTTTGCATCAGTGCATAGCACTGATATCAAATGGGGCTCAAACACGGAGATAGGAAACAGGGAGAAGGAGCGGGTGGGAGGCAGTGTTACCCACAGAATGGGTGTGAAAGGATGAATGTGTCAGCGGTGGAGCACCGTTGAACTAGGCCATACTGATCTGCATGAAAAGCCAAGCAGCACAGCAGGGTTAGGGCTGGAGCACCCAGGTCCTCCTTGTACGCGTCATCCCTTCCACCAGCTGCGCTCCCAGGCACTCGTGTGAGTAGATCAAGGTGAGATGGGTATGCTCAGGGAGGCTGAGATGAGGGGAGCAGCATGATCATGGATGCTTTGCTGATGGAGAGCCTTGGTTGGAGGCCACTGGTCAGGTTCAGAGGGAGCTTCCCCGTAGCTGGGCCAGGAAACTTTGGTGGTAGCCAGAATCCACTTACCTTTCCCCAGGAGGCAGAGCTGGAGCGCCTGGAGAGGGAGTTTGCCATTCAGTCCCAGATCACAGAGGCTGCCCGGCGCCTGGCGAGTGACCCGAACGTCAGCAAAAAGCTGAAGAAACAGAGGAAGACGTCCTACCTGAACGCACTGAAGAAACTGCAGGAGATCGAAAACGCCATCAATGAGTATCGCATCAAATCTGGAAAGAAGCCAACCCAGAGAGCCTCCCTGATCATCGACGGTAAGAGGGCTCAGCACCCACGGCATTGCTGAAGGCTCTGTGGAGGGCAGGGTGCAAAATTCTTGCCTTGAACTCGTGGCTTGAGGCACAGATATCACCTCCCTCCTCTTCGCTCTCCTGACCGTGTGGGTGCTGGCGGTCGGGCGGTCCTCTCCCATGCCAGCGTGCTGTCAGATGGGTGTCTGGGCTGCGTGCCCTGCGTCAGGGATGGGCCGGTTCACAGCACAAGAAGCGGTGTCACGCTGTAGATCATAAGCATGTCAGGAAAGCAGACTGTAACTCCTTTGTTCACCTATAAAATCGCTCTGTTAACGTCTCCTCCAGAGCGGGGCTGTACAAATGTAATTAATGTTAGCAGATTGGGGTGAGCTCTCTAGCTGAAAGGCATCTGTAAAATCAAAGTGGTAGCAGTGTCACTGCTGTGTTCAAACGCTTTTTTTTTTTTTCTTCTTTTTCTTTTTTTTTACAATGTAATTCTCAGGGCACTTTATGGTTTACTGGGTTGTTGATTGGTTTTTCATGAAATCCATTAACTTTCTGCCGTGATTCTTTCTCCCTTGCTGATTTCGCCCTTTCCCTTTGACTTGCAGAGCTTTCCTCTGTGCCTTTGTAGCAGGAACTGAGATTAGAGCTGCTGTATTTGTGGCCTGGGTACCGAGCTGCACCGCAGTCAGGGATAACAGAGAGCCGCGAGGACACGGGATGGGGGAGGCAGCTCAAACGTGTGCACACCAAGGACGCGAGAGCTTCTCCTGCTGCTGCAGAGACCGCTCAGAAAGCGTTTCCCTGAATCACACAAAACTGGTACCTAGTGTGGGCCTTTAGTTAGCAACAGAATGATCATTCTGAGAAGGTGAGGATCAAACCCAGAATCCTAAGGCCCGAGACATAAATCTCGCTGATGGCACCATGCCATTTCGCATCCTCCAGGGATCTCAGCTCTCCCGTGTGACTCGGTCTTAATCCCCATTAATTGAAAAGAGTTAGCAGCTCCTTGGAAGGCAGCCTGCTAGTGAGAGACCTGGCCTGCAGCTCTGCCCTCCGAGACGGAGAGTGGGCTGAGTCCGTAGTTTATAGGACTCTTGCCTCTCGGCTATGTGAGGAGGAGGAGGACGTGGGTGACTGCTAAGGCTAACACTCGGTGGACAAAGGTCACGGTGCAGCTCAGCACTCAGTCACTGCGATTCTTGGAACCATCTGACCATATTTATATTTTCTTCCCTTCAGAAGGAAACATTGCCAGTGAAGACAGCTCCCTCTCAGATGCCCTTGTTCTCGAGGATGGTATGTTGGCTGCTCTATGTTCTAGAGGGCAGGAAGGAAACAGGGAGGGATGTGCAAACTCCTGACTGACACTCAGAATGGAGGAGCTGTGCTGTGTAATAAGACACTCAAGCATCCCAGTAGCAAAAACGCTTGGTTTCCCCTGACTCCACCTTGTAGTCTGACATCAGGCCTGGAGCAGTGGGTATTGCTGTGGTCACTGCTCTGCATTCTTTCAGAAGACAGTCCCAGAATGTCCCCTTATTTTCTCTTAGGGTTTCAGTTGGTTTAACACATCACACACTGTTGCTGGCCATTCCCTCCCAAAATGGGAACATCAGCCAGCGCGCTTCTGAAAGTCGGGTCTTCGGGTTGCTCCTGAACACAACCAGGGGAAGCGGGGTAAGGAGACAGGCTCTGGAGGTGTGAGGGTGTCCCCCGGGGTTGTGCTGCCATTGGAGCTATCACACAGCCATCGCCTCTCTCCCTTCTTCTCTTCACAGAGGATTCTCAGGTCACCAGCACAATATCCCCCCTCCAGTCCCCACACAAAGGACTCCCTCCCCGGCCACCCTTGCACAACAGGCCTCCTCCTCCGCAGTCGCTGGAAGGCCTCCGCCAGATGCATTACCACCGCAATGACTATGACAAGTCCCCCATCAAACCCAAGATGTGGAGTGAGTCATCCCTGGATGAACCCTATGAGAAGGTCAAAAAACGCTCCTCACACAGTCATTCCAGGTGAGCCAGCTATCTTGAAGCTCCACCCCAGAAATATCCTCCGCTTTCAGGAGGGGCGGGTGTAAGTCCTTTCAAAATTAGCAAAGCCGTCCCTTACCAAAAGGAGCCCTTTAGGTGTTTTGGCCAATAGGCATGCCATAAAAATAGGCTGCAGCCACATGACTGCTGCTTGGTATCTCTATGTTATTTTAAAAAGCATTTAGAAAAGAAGGATGGTGGATCATCTGAGGGCTTGGACAGGGCTTGGCCTTGACCTCTAGCTACCACAGAAGCACAAGCGCTGGGACACAGCTCAGAGCAGCAGCTGACCCAAATTCTGCTCACCCCCGCAAGATCACAGGCACGTGCCTGAGATCTGGAGAGAGGCGTGGGACCCCCTTCCCCAAATTCCTGCCCGGGAACTAAGCAGCGTGTTTGCTCTGCAGCAGTCACAAGCGGTTCCCCAGCACCGGGAGCTGTGCCGAGGCGGGAGGGAGCAGCTCACTGCAGAACAGCCCCATCCGGAGCCTTCCGCACTGGAACTCCCAGTCCAGCATGCCATCGACGCCGGATCTACGGGTACGCAGTCCGCACTACGTCCACTCCACGCGGTAAGTCCTCCCGGCTCCACAGTGGTCTCACCTTGCCTACCCTCAAGTAAATATTCTTTGCTTTATCCTTCCCTCAGGATCTGAATTAATTCCCAGTTCAGGAAAGGACACAAACCAGTCTTATTCACATCAGAGGCTGAAGTACTGTTGCAAGTAGGCAATCTCTCCTAAACTGAGCTCCTGAAATCACTTCAGATAAATATGATCTTGCCCCTCATCTCCCCCTCAGAGTAATCAAGCTTTTCTTCCGCTGGGATCTTTCATCTCGGGGACTGTTTATAGGCGCTACAAACCCCACGCCGCTTTTAAAAGGGATGTGGTGCTACTGCTAAATTCCACAGTGAATTCCTCCGTGGATCCATCTGGAGATTACTTCTTGTTTCCTGTCTGCCACAAAATGTTGGGTAGTGTTAATTCTCCGTCACAGATAAAGTGTTTGCACGTGTGTGATCTTATGTGGAGAGAGAGGCTGTATAAAGCAATCCACCCGGCGATCCAGGTGGCAGTGGCGTAAGCCCAGGTTGGCAGAGGAAAGAGCTGAAGTGTGTAAGGGAGGTGATTTGATGTGCGCGGCCCATTTTGACTCCAGTTTTCAGCAGGGTTTCTACAAACTGTTCAGCTTCCTTGCTATTTTGCTTTCGTGGCAAAGTCCACGGACACTGCGGGAAGCAGAGCTGAGCCAAAGCTGCACGCTGGGAGGTGTCCTGACGTAGGGGGTAGTGCTAACATGATTTAGCTCAGCATAAATCAAGAGTCATGCCAACATATCAGACTCAGGCAGAGACGATACAAGGAATTAAGGCCCTGGGTGAAGTTTTTTATGAGTTTTTGGCTGGGAGTACCTTTCAAGAGTGCAGTGTTTGTTAGCACTGGAGCCAAGCGGCGTGAGAAATGAGCCTGGCACAGGGCTTGAGAAGTGGCCTTGACCGGGTAGGGGCCATTTGGGTGTTTGAAACAACCACTGCTAGCTCTGTGGCTCATTCATGAGCTGCGTGCCTTGGCCTTGGCCATCCATCATGCGGGTGTGTGACTCGTCGTGCAGTGTTCCTGCTCCTTGAACGGATGGCTGAAGCTCTCCAAACAGCCAGGGTGAATAGAGACCACCCAGACATGGCCATGAATCGAGCCTTGTAAACTGTGATTCAGGAGGGTTGCCTGAAGGGCTGTCATGGGCTGACAGTCCTACATGTGCTGCCCATGGCTGGGCCCTGCTAAAACCTAGCTGCTTCACTGAGGTGACTTTTTCAATGGCCAGTGGAGAAATCACTGCATTCCAGGCCAAGTATGGGCAGTCTGTCTGTCTGTCTGACGCCAGGTGGATTGCACCTGTGCAGGCATTCACGGGCCACTTGCAAGGAAATCCCACCACCTTTGAGGCTGATGGGATTTGCAGAGCTGGAGCAAGGTGAACCTGGTAGCACAGCGACAGCGCTGATCCAAACAGCTCTGCCACGGGGCCGCACCAGCAAAGCCAGGGCTTGAGGTCCCCAGGTTTTACCCTTGAGACTTGGGTCTTCCTCAGGGTGGCAAACCACAGAGGAATTGGGCTGGGCAAAAGTTCATGTGCCGTGTGGTGCTGCAGACTGAATGCCACCACCAAGGAGACTGGAGAGGAACAGGAATTTAGATTAGATACAAGAACAAAATTCTTTACTCTGAGGGTGGTGAGGCCCTGGCACAGGTTGCCCAGAGAAGCTCTGGCTGCCCCCTCCCTGGCAGTGTTCAAGGCCAGGCTGGACGGGGCTTTGAGCAGCCTGGTCTGGTGGAAGGTGTCCCTGCCCATGGCGGGGGGCTTGGAATGAGATGACCTTTAAGGTCCCTTCCAACCTAAACTATTCTACAATTCTATGATTCTATGAATAGGACCTAATTGCCCCAAACCCTGCAGCAGGGAAGCAGGTTGCTTTGCAGCCAAGCAGGTTGCTTTGCAGCCAGCAGCCCCACTAAGTGCTGGAGGGGCCCAGGTTTTCAGTGCCCTCAGATTCCTCTGCTTGTGAACCCGGCCTTGTGTGCAGAAGGGGATGGGCAGTGCTTCATCCTGTTGACTTACCAGCGTGGATTTTTTTCCTGCAGGTCAGTAGACATCAGCCCAACCAGACTGCACAGCTTAGCTCAGCACTTTAGACACCGGAGCTCCAGTTTGGAGTCGCAAGGCAAGCTCCTCGGCTCAGAAAATGAGACAGGGAGCCCCGATTTCTACACCCCAAGGACTCGTAGCAGTAACGGCTCTGACCCCATGGACGACTGCTCTTCCTGCACCAGCCATTCCAGCTCTGAGCACTACTACCCTGCTCAGATGAACCCCAACTACTCCACCCTGGCAGAGGATTCCCCGTCGAAAGCCAGAGAGCGACAGAGGCAAAGGCACAAATCGGCGGGCAACCTGGTCTCTTCCAATTCAGGGAGCATGCCCAACCTGGCTGCGAGGAACGGGACGGGGCATCACCGCGTCTACCTGCACAGCCAGAGCCAGCCCTCCTCCCAGTACAGGATCAAAGAGTATCCCCTGTACATCGAGGGCAGCTCCACACCCGTGGTGGTGCGGAGCCTGGAGAACGACCAGGAGGGACACTACAGCGTGAAAGCACAATTCAAAACCTCCAACTCCTACACAGCAGGGGGGATGTTTAAGGAGAACTGGCACGGGGATGAAGTGGACTCCGTCAGGCTCACCCCCTCCCGCTCCCAAATCATAAGGACTCCATCTCTGGGCAGGGAGGGCCATGAGAAAGGCTCGGGTAGGACTGCTGTGTCGGACGAGCTGCGGCTCTGGTACCAGCGGTCCACGGCCTCCCACAAGGAGCACAGCCGCCTCTCGCACACGAGCTCCACTTCCTCGGACAGCAGCTCCCAGTACAGCACATCTTCGCAAAGCACCTTTGTGGCGCACAGCCGGGTCACGAGAATGCCTCAGATGTGCAAAGCAACGTCAGGTGAGAGCCGGGCCCGGGCAAAGAGGTGGGAGGGACGGGGGCTTCGTGCCGCCCGGATTCGTGCCAGGCATTACACCCCAGCTGGAGTGCGGTGCTGGACCGTAGCACCTTCTCTGGCCTTCACACGCTGCTCACCCAGCCTGCAGGCGTAACACCCACGGGCCAGCCTTGTCCGAGACACGCGTCATCGGGTGAGAATTTTTTTCCCTTGGAAACCATTGCTTTGCAATGATGGGCTCGAAAGACAGGGAGGGACCGAGGCCCTGTTGTGGCCAGGTCTTTCCTCAGAGTGCAGCTGGGTTTTTGGGTGATGGCACTAGAGGCTGGACATGGAGAAACCGTGGGGAAGGTCACACTTAGTAATCATAGCAAGGGGAGCAAGGAAGCAAGTCGGGGCTCAGCACAGACGAGGGCAATTCATGTCCTCAGTGAAACACCAAAAACATGAGAAAGGTGAAGTGGGGAGCAGCCCAGCCCCTCCACCCCCCTGCGAAAATCTTTGAGCGATGACATCTCTGTGCACGGCCGAGGCTTGGTTGTACCATGCAGCTCCAGCAGCTCTGCTGATAATACCCTGAAATTCAGAGCGCTGAAGTTAGTGCAGTGTTACGCCTCTGTGTCGTGCACAGAGCTTTGCACTCCGCTGTGCTGTTAATATTAAATGGTAAGAAAACAGTCAAATTCATTAAACTGAGGAGGCCACTATGTGTTATGGAACAGTCCAAGGTTAAATATTTACCGGCCATCAGTCACTGCGGGACAAGCCAGTCTGGATAGATCAAGGACTTGCTAACAACCTGAATCCAGCCCCGCATGGACAGGACTGCTGGGTCACCAGAGTTCGCACCGTGCCCGTTCCCACCCGTCCACACGCCTCAGCCTTGGTGTGGGAGACACCGCCGCTCCGGCCTCGCTCGCCCG